TTATACAGAGGAGGAAGTCGCTGGGCAAGTGGAAGCTGTTGGCCTTAGAAAGCCAGTTTCCCAACTCCTGTCAGGCTTGCCCGCTAGGTTGTAGGTTTCCAGAGAGCCAGAAACGCTGACTTCTTGTTTGAACTCCAGCCTCCAACACTGCTCTCAGGACAGGTTACCTGTGGTCACGCCACCGTGTGCTCAGGCAGGAGCTGGGGGTGTGCTCCGGCAGGAGCTGGGGGCCCGTCCCCTCGCCAGCTGCGCGCGTGCACGTGCGCCACCGGGACGCGAGCCCGGGAGCGCGCTGGGGGCTGCTCCGCCCCCTCCCTCCCTCGCGCGTAAACTCCGGGCATCCATCAGTCTGTTAATTGCACTAATTAGAGATCGCGGAGGTGTTAATTGGAAAACCCTGGTATTGTGCCTGTTTGGGGAAGAAAACGTCAATAAAAATTAATTGATGAGTTGGCAGGGCGGGCGGCGCGGGTTCGCGGCGAGGCGCAGGGTGTCGTGGCAAATGTTATGGCTCAGATTAAGCAATTGTTAATTAAAAAGCTACGGTAATTAATACTCCCTATGCCATATGGGCCCGCGAAAAGGCACAAAAGGTTTCTCCGCGTGTGGGGCTCCCCGTTTCTTTGCCGCCCTCCCCGCCAAGTCACCCCAGTCCTTGGATCCCCATTTGGCTCCGAGGTAGGTGGGACTCGTCACTTCCGGCCAGGGAGGAGACGGGGACCAGGCGAGTTCCTGGGGCGTCCCTATTAGTGCGCCTGCCAGGTTCTTTCGAAGAGCAGGGAGCCTCAGGGGAAATGGGAGCCCCCAGCGACCCGCGGACTCCCTCAGAGCGGAAGAGGCGCCTGCGGCTTTGACCTGGCTTCCTTCCTTCCGAGGGCGTCTGCAGGAGCCTCCAGCCCGGCCACGGCTCCCCAGGGAGGAACCCCAAGGGATGGGAGACTAGGACCTGCCTAGGTGCGGGGCCAGAGCCCGGGGCTGAGTCCTGGACTACCCAGTGTCGCTGGCCTCCCTTGCGCTCTCCTCTGTTGCTTTCAAACGTGTGGTAGGAGGTGGGTCGGGAAGCCGGGGTAGGGAACAGAGCACCAGTCTGAGAGGTTCCCAGAAAGCCCTCTGATGACCCAGCATCCACCTCCCCCCTTTTTTGTGGAGGGAGACAGGAGCAGCCCAGTGACTTGCCCAAGGTCACACAGCTGGCCTTGAAAACCAGATGGTCAGATTCTCAGAGCAGCTCCGTTTTCTGCAGGTGTTCAGCTGCTCCTTGCTGAGGAAATGGGTGGCTGGTGCAGGAGAAAGCATTGGAGGGCAAGGGTGTGTGAAGGCAGAAGGGAGGGAGTGAAGGAGGAGGGGGCTGTAAGAGTTGAGAGCATTGGGTGGGGCTCTTTGGGAAAGAGACCACAGCGGTGGCCCTCAGTGACCCCCACCAGCTACTGGCAAAGCATTGTGGCTTCCTGTCCGAGTGTCGGACAGGGAGTTTTCCTTCTGGAGCTCCCAAGTCAGAAGAGACCTCCCAGACCACCCGTTCATGGGCAGGTGGGTTAATCAAGGCTCAGAAGGAGGACGGCAAAGGATTCCCAGCTGTGGTGGCTGAGCCCAGGCCTAGCCAGGGTCCGGGCTCCTGGTTCCCTTGGATGCTGGCTCTCCCCCCCCACCCTTGTAGTTACAGGGTGCTGATACAAGGCTGGCCCCCACACCCCGTCCTGCCCAGGCCCCCAGAGTGTGCTCCCCACCCTGCAGGGCACTCCTGGTGTCCTTGCAGCCTGCAGTGGAGAGGCAGGCAGGAGGCAGCCCCTGTGCTCTTCCTCGGAGAACAGGTGTCCCAGGGCAGAGATGCGGATTGGGGACCGCCAGGGTGCTCACCGTGCAGGTTTAGGGGGATGTCGGTGGGCGGGCTAGAGTGTGGAAGGAGGTGTACAAGTGCATGTCAGAGGGGCGAGGGCCCAGGAGGGGGGCAGAGCGTGCCACATGGGAATTAATGCCATTCATGCACCCTGCGGAAATGACTTTTCAAATGCATATAATCTCAAGCATGCAAATGAGAGGCTTGCTTCACCCTGTTTAATATGAATGATCGGCCCTTGAATAGCTATTATTACACAGCACATTGCAGCAATTATGTTGTTCACTGGGTGTCGCTCTGCACACTCCCCCCACCCCAAATAAAATGACAGAAAAGAGACACCTCTGTTCTTCCCTTTTCCTCCTTTTTCCCAAACTTGCTGTCTGCTCTCCAACTTCATGGTGTTGCTCTGAGTGCTGGAGGGGGTCACTCTCCCTTACACAGAGTAGCTGCCCGTTTCTCTTCCCGTTCTCCTATGTGCACATACACCCCTGAGGCTCTGGTCTTTGTCCTCTGGGGCCCAGGAGTTCTCAGATCTCAGAGAAGCTGGACTTGGAATCAGGGCGGCAGCTGTTCTCCACCCCAGCAGGGCCAGGGTTGGGAGAGAGGGAGCAGTGAGCCCCTGTGGTCTCCCCACCCGCCTCATGGCTGAGGCCCAGGCCCGAGGGAGAAGGTCCTCGTGCAGGGCCGCTGGGTGGGTGGTTACAGGGAGGAGGCTGGAGCCCTGCACTCTGGTGGCTAGAGGATGGCGCCGGCCCCATTC